CTGGTTATGTGTCTGCCATTTAATTTTTTCCTGTGTCTTGTCTGATTTTATTCCGATCTTTCTCCTTTATTGTCTTATTGGAAGTAACTAAACATTTTTTACATTTTCATTGCATCTGCCGGCTTTTTAGCTCTACCTCATTGAATCATTCTTTTGGAAGTTGTTCTAGAGAATACTATACATAGCCTTAAATGTTTACAGTCTACTTAATGTATCATTTCCCCAAAAAATAAAGAAAACATGCTACATAGGTTCTTTTACTTTTCCATTCTTTAGCCTATTTCTGTCATATGCATTGTCATAGCTAATACATAGGTTATAATGGTGCTAAATTTTTTTCCAAAGGTGATATATAACCTAAAGAAATTCAGAGAAACATAACATAATCTTTATATTTATACTTCCATCCTAGAATTCTCAGTTTCCATCTATTATGATACCTTTCAACATGGAGAACTTCCTCTAGAGTATGCGTGCTGACAAAAATTTACTTAGTTTTAATGTTTATATAAGTTTAGTTCACATTTTTTCTTGAAGGATATTTTTACTGCATATAGAATTCAAGGTTCGTGGGACATTAAAGATCTCTTGCCCTCCATGATTTTTGATGATAAATTAGTCATCATTCATGTAATTGTTTTCTTATATGTAATATAGTATTTTATTCTGGCTACTTTCAATATTTTCTATCTACGTTTTTATGTATCTTTCTTGGACTATGCTGAGCTTCAATTTATAAAGTTATGTCTTTCAACAAATTTGGGCAATTTTGCAAATTCTTTATCCGAATATTCTTTCTGCCGTATTATCTTTATTTTTTCATTCCAGAATCCCAAATACAGCTATGATTGATGTTTTGATATTGTCTTCCAGGTCCTCAGGTACTTTTCACTTTTTTCCTATTTTTTTCTTCCTGGTTCTTCAGATTGGTAATTTCCATTATTCCGTCTTCTCCTCCAGTGACTCCTTTCTACCACCTTGAATCTGCCGTTAATTTCATTCAGTAAAATATTGAAACCTCAGGTATTGTGTTTTATAGTTCTACGATTTCCACCGACATTTTTTTTCATATTTTCCATATCTCTGTCCTGAGATTTCCTATTTGTTATGCTAATTACAAATAGGTTTTTAATACCTACAGTAGATGAATTTTAAATCCTCTGATAAATTTAGTGTCTGTCTCATCTCAGAGCTGGTCTCCACTGATCGTTTTTTCTGTTAAGTGTGTGTTATGTGTTCCTGATTTTTTGTAGATTGAGGAATTTTTGAATTATATCCAGAAAATTGTGAATTTTAAGTTGTGGAGATTTTGGATTTTGCTATATTCTTCCAGAGGGTGTTAATTGCTTTGATTAGCAGGTAGTTAACTTGGCTGAACTGAAACTTTAAACTCTGCAGTAGATGGAAGCTGAAATGTTCTGTTAGCCTTGGCTGCACTGCTTGGAGTCTGTTTCATGCATGGATTGCCCAAGGTTCAGCCGGCGGTTTAGGGAAAGTTTATATATATAATTTTGGGGCTTCACATCTGTGGGTTCTCACTTCTCAACATTCTCTTCATCCTCTGCTTTCCAGCTATTGTGATCGCTGTAAACTTTGGCCTTGGGTTCTTTAAGCCAATAAGAGTGAATGTGTCTCTCCCAATGTAGGTCAACCACATGTTGAAGGCAGGGTTTGCCCTAAGGCCACATGCTATAAAATTTGGGGGAATTCACTCAGGGAAATTTTCTTCTTCCAAGTGTAGAACCCTCTTCAATTTCTGCTTAGCTTTGATAACTGTCCAGCGTATAGTTGTTTTCTAAGAAAGTATTTTGTTGGATAATGACTATGGTACAAAATAGAGCCATATTAAAATCAATTTTTGTCTTCTCTTTGTTTAGCATGTATTTGAATTTTTGTGATAGTTGAGGCACATTATTCTGTGGTTATAAGCAGAGACACACTTGTTGGCTTCAAATATCAGCTCTTTCAGTATATGTGTGACTTCTTTGTTTCTCATTTACAAAATGGAAATAATTTCATAGAATTGTTTTTGAGCACGGTAATGATATAGAAAATAACAAATTTGGTTTCTTCAACTATTCTTTCACAGCACAGAATGCTTCTTTGACCAGATGTGTGAGGCTTCTCCCCTCTCACCCCACCCCTACCTTCCCACCTCACCCCCTGCACAAAGCAATTTTCCAGCCGCAAATTCTCCAGCAGACACTAACTGAGTGTTCTAAAATTCAATTAAATTCTGACACTATCTACCTGGTAGTAGTCTCAGATCCCACAGATTGAGGGCCCAGTCCCGTAAGACTGCCCCCACTTCAAATGCCAGGCGCAAGCATTGGTTGTGGCCCATGTTTCTAACCAACCAGTTATAAATTGAGATTCCCACAACCCCCTCTTCTGGTTCAATGAATTTGCTAAAGTGACTCACAGAACTCAGGGAAATGCTACTTATATTTGCCCATTTATTGTATAAAGGATATTACAAAAGATACAAGTGGACTGCCAGATGGAAGAGATGCATAGGGCAACTTATATGGGAAGCAGCACAGGGCTTCCATGCCCTCCCTCCCCAGGTGTACCACCCTCCTATCTGTTGTGCTATCTGGAAACTCTCCAAACTCGGTCCTTTTGGGTTTATTATGCAGGCATAATTGATTGAGTCATTAACCATTGGCGATCAACTTAACTTTCAGTCCTTCTCTCTTGTCTGGTGTTGTGTGGGCTGAAAGTTCCCAACCTCTAATCCCACTGTGGTCTTTCTTGTGACCAATCCCCATTCTGAAGCTACCTAGGGGCTGCATCCATCACCTCACTCAGATACAAAGAACAATCATCACTCCAAAGATTCCAAGAGTTTTAGGGCTTTTTGCTACAAACCAAGGGGCCAAGACCAAATATATACTTTACAATTACACGGCACTAAATGAAATACTATTTGTGAAGTGGCTAGGATGGTGACTGGTACATAACAGATATTCAAATATTAATTATTGGCTATTGTTAATATAATTAACATTCTTTTTAAAAAAACTCATAGATTATACAACCTGTGGAACTCAGGCTACTAAAATTCACAATTATTTATATTTGGCCATCTTTAAAATCAAACCTTGTACTATTCCCAATTTACAATCTTCCTTGGAAGAATTAAAGAAAACAGATAAACATATCAATGTGCTTAGGGCCACCTGCCTTTGAGAAACGACTGAAATTTGGCCAGCTGGAAATCAATTACTAAAATTTTATGAAATTTTCTGCCTCTGGCCAATTATTTTATGTGACTGGCTAAGCTGTCTTTATGCTTTTTAGTTGACTAGACAGAAAACGTGGATGTGGATCAGATCCATGCATCCCTCCATCAAAAGAGCAAGCTTATTTTCTTGCATCTGGCCGCATGACTTTATGCTATCCTATTTTCACTTCCAAAGTCAATATTACAGCTACTGATGAACTTAGAAATTTAGAACTTTAAAATAATTTTATAGTTTTTAAGGTTCCTTTTTCAACTCAAAAATAAATGAAAGTCGATCAACTAATGAATCCCCTCTTTCTCTTTATTTGGACCACCTCTAACTGTCCATTTGCACGGGACCTATTTTTGCAGACATGTTAATAGAAAATACTGACTGCACAGGAGAAAGTAAGCCTGTTGCCTTTTTTCATCTTCTGCAGCTGCCTCTAGCTGCACATCCAGAGCTTTTAAAATTTAGGGGTATTATGGAAATTACAGAACTTGTGAAGGGATGCCTCAGGGGAAAAAAAAGTTATAAACTTCACAAGACTCATGAATCATAGGCAAAATTTATTCAGAGTAGAAACTTGCATGTTATTCAGACATCACATCAACAGTGCTTCCTTTGCAGAGCCTTTCTAGCCTGAAATCCATACCATTGCTGAAACCATATATGTCCCCATCATTTTCCTGCATTGTATTCCTCTAATTTATGTTTTGTCCCTCAGGCAAGGATCAAATGGGGTTTTTCAAATGTTAGTAAAAAATTTTCACATGTTGTCATCTTATAAATATAAATTAATAATAATAGTAATAGTGATAACAATGCTCTATTACAAAACAGATATTTACAGTAAGGCATTAAAAGCAATTTAACAGAAAGCCTCAAGATTTAGCATGAAGCAATGCTTAGCAGAATATTACAAAAGCTACCAGTGCCTCTAGCTATAATATTTTATTCAGTTCCGTAAGTTTGAAAGTTCTTTTTTACCCAATAAGAACTGGAAAGTGCTATCGAATTGCTTTACCTCACTTCTCTTGCTTTCCCCTTCTGTACATGAGGATTGATGAACAAAACCCTCCTTCATTTGTAGTTGAATATTTATACCCAATATTTTATTTTCTTCTTTCAAATAATTTTGACCAAACTTCCCTTGAACTAAATTAAAAAGCAAAATACAAATTGTCTGTATATTGTGGTTGCAATTATGTAAAAATATGACTGCATATAAATAAAGGACTGGAAGGGAATACACAGAAATTACTTTAATTATATAAGTATGATGGAAAAGACAGGAGTTTCATCCCCACACACAAACCATTTAAATTGTATGTAATATTCTGTTATTGTTTATACAATAATATTTTATTTTTTAAAAAGTTTTCCCACTGAGGCTGAGACAGGAACAAATGCAGACCCGTCAAATTAGGTGATTTTAAAATTAAATCATTTCTTCTACTTTTCAGAGGTTCCTACTCCTAGCTTCCCTACCCATTCCTCTTCCAATAAGTTGATACGGTTATTCATTGAATCGAAGTTTATTGAGCACGTAAAGTCCCTCAACTCATGTGGATGCAGCAGCCACCATGGCAGGCTATCAACTGATTTCCCCCTAAGATTCCTCACATCAACTGATTTTCCCCTAATAATATTTTTGCTGACTTCCAGTGACTGTCCCAACTCTGCCACTCCTTTTTATGATTAGTTCCTTTCCTATCATTACCAAATATCTCATTCAAACGATTGTTACAGAACGAAACCAGGTCCACTTACCTGTGAGCAATGGAAAGGTAAACATGAAGCCTGGGATTTTTGTAGAGAGAAAGGTTTCTTGAAAAACAGCGAAGCAACGAGACAGGAGACGGCTCAAAACTGTCTCCTCGTACCGGCTTGAAAGCCGTATATGTAAAAAAAGGATTTTGGGGAAAGCGTTGTAGGGTAGATTAGTGATAGGCCAGGCAAGGGGATGTTTGGAAAGTCACTTGCCCACGTGAAGTTGCCTCTTCGTGGCTAGCATGTGCAAATTTAGGGGGAGTTAGTGTGAAACGTGCGGCGGAGCTTCAGACGGCGACGTCAGTTCAGACCCGACGTCAGTTCATGCGGCGACGTCAGTTCAGACGGCGACGTCAGTTCAGTCGCGACGTCAGTTCAGACGGCGACGTCAAAAGATCACCCCGTGGCCCGGCAAATCCTTGCGCAAGCTCCAGTGGGTCATATTGGTTCCGGCAGGTTTCAGCTGGTGCCGTAGTGGACATCCTGCAAAATAAACACAGAGGTTTTGTTAATCGCCAGTCCCTTTCAAACCAGTTCTTTGGTCCATTTAACCCTGTGAGGCACAGTTTCACGATCTTTAAATAAGGATCTTGCGCTCAAAATGTAACCCCTAACCTCTCCAATCTTTCCCCTCCTCTGAAAATCACCAAGGACCCCTGTCACCCACGCACGGTGGCCTTTCCTCCTTGCCCAGTATCTCTCATTGCAGAGAGACATTTCATCGACGGAACCAACTGCTTCCTCTTAAACCTCTGCTCTTGTCACACTGAATCTACTTTCCCTTGCTTATTTGAATGACAACTCTCATTTCTTAGTCTCCTACTTTTTTTCCTTTATTATACCCTACTTTTGACATTTCTGTTTCTCAAAAATTCTTTGAGATTTTTCTCACTCTATCTTCTCTCATCTGCTGAGACAACGCTTAAAATGATCGTTATATACATATATATATGATTGTATAGGTGGTATAATGTCACATATACGCCATTGTAACAGCTAAATTCGGTAGAGGGATTATTGTATGTCAAGTTCTGTACTAGTAAGTACAGACTTTGTTTCCATGATTTTATTTAACTCTTATAGCCACCATAAAAGCCAAAAATTCTTACTTTTTTTTTTCTTTTTTTTTTTGGAGGAAACCTCTGAGCTTAAAGAGATAGAAACATTTTCCTAAAGCAGCATTGTTGTGAATGGAGGAAATGGGCTCCAACTTCAAAAGTGTCTGAGGACAGAGCCCACCTTCCTAGCTGCTGGGCTATGCCTTGCCTGCGTTACTTCACCACCCCCCAAGTCTGACCCGGCTTCGCTGGTAAATTGTTTCCCATCATTTCCACTCCATCCAAATATCTGCTAGTCTTTTCCTCAAAAATAACACACCAAGACCTTATTATACACAACATTTAAGATGACAAGTGCTCTTTCCCTAAAATATTTTCTTTGATTTCTCTGCTTATTTCAAGGTCATCATCACTGTAGTCCGTATTCAAAACAAAGCTCTTTACCTCTGGCCTGTCCTTCTCTTCTGTCACCCACATCTACAAAGTTACCAAGATTTGTGGCTTTTTTGCTTCCAAGCCTCTGACAGTTTGCAAGAAGGAACACACATGAACACATATGTACAGACATATATGCAACAGCAAAAATCACTTAGCAAAGGATTTTTTAAGATAAAAAATTAGGAAACCATATGTAAAAACAGATGAGAAATATCCTTGATATCAATGCACATAGAGGGAATAAAGTTATCAACTAAAAGAAAAATAGTGTCAGAAAACAAACTCTAATGTGTATGTGTGTGTACAAAAGCCATACAAAGTAAAATGACTTAGAAAGACTAAAGGTAAAGTGTGTAAAAACTACCAAAAAAACAAATAAAAAGAAGTCAGAAACTCTTTGTTCCAGGCAAAAATGCAAGGCAAAAGCATGAAATTAAACAAAAAATACACTTTGCAATGACTAAGTGAATGATCCTCAGTTACAATAAAGTGTAGACTTGAAAAGAATATGTGAAGCTGGGAAATTTTTTTTTTTTTTTTTTTTTTTTGAGACGGAGTCTCGCTCTGTCGCCCAGGCTGGAGTGCAGTAGCCGGATCTCAGCTCACTGCAAGCTCCGCCTCCCGGGTTCACGCCATTCTCCTGCCTCAGCCTCCTGAGTAGCTGGGACTACAGGCGCCCACCACCTCCCCCGGCTAGTTTTTTGTATTTTTTTAGTAGAGACGGGGTTTCACCGTGTTAGCCAGGATGGTCTCGATCTGCCGACCTCGTGATCCGCCCGTCTCGGCCTCCCAAAGTGCTGGGATTACAGGCTTGAGCCACCGCGCCCAGCCGAAGCTGGGAAATTTACAAAGAAAAGAGAGTTGATGGGCTGATAGTTCTGCAGGCTATACAAACATGGTACCGACATCTGCTTGGCTTCTGGTGAGGCCCTCAAGGAGCTTTTACTCATAGCAGAAAGTGAAGTGAGAGCAGGCACATCGCAGGGCAACAGCAGAAACAAGAGAGAGTGAAGGGGAAGGTGCCATACTTTTAAAAAACCAGGTCTCCCAAGAACACACTATTGCAACGTCAGCACCAAGGAGATGGCATTAAACCATTTATGAGATATCTGCCCCCATGATCCAGTCATGGGTCCACACTTTCAACATTGGAGATTATAATTCAACATGCGATTGAGAGGAGACAATATCCCAACTATATCACAGAGTCTCTCTCTGTCACCCAGGCTAACATGCAGTGGTCAGATCATAGCTCACTGCAGCTTCAAAGTCCTGGGCTCAGGGAGGCTCCTTCTGCCTCAGCCTCTTGAGTAGCAGGAACTACAGGCATGTGCCAATGTGCCACCATGCTCTGTGAATTTTCTTTCCTTTTTTTTTTTTTTTTCAGAGATGGAGTCTTTCTATGTTTCTCAGGCTGGTTTCAAACTCCTAACCTCATGTAATCCTCCTGCCTCAGCCTCTAGACTATCCGGATTGCAAGCACAATCTACCATGCCCTGATCACGTGTGTAGCTTCTACAGCCAGTCCTCCACCTCATTTAGACTTTTCTAACTTTATGAGATATTTTCTTAGCTGCCCTGACTCCAGTTTTTCCTGTTTCCAGAAGAGTTTTACATAGGATATTCAACATCCTATAACACTAACCTCCCCCTCAAAGGCAGCACGGCACAAAGGCTGTGAGAACAGGCTTTCAAACCAGATGCCTGAGTTCAAATCCCAGCTCCAGTACTTACTATCTTTATAAACTGGGGAAGTTACTTAACCCTCTGTGCCTTAATTTCCTCACAGGTAAACTGTGGCTAGTAAATGGACCTAACTCACAAGAATCTAAAGAAAATTTCAATAAATTCATATTGGTAAAGTTCTTAGAAGTACCATGTAGGTATATAATAAGATAGAAATAATTGTTATTGTTAAATAAACATGTATGCTTCTGCTATGATTTAAATGTTTGTCCCCTCCAAAACTCAGTGGAAATTTAATCCCCAGTGTGGCAATATTCAGAGGTGGGGCCTTTAAGATGTGATTAGGTTGCGAGGGCCCTGACCGCATGAATAGATTAATCCATTTGTGGATTAACAGATTAATGGGTTCATGAATTAATAGATTATCACAGGAGTAGAGCTGGTGGCTTTGTAAGAAGCAAAGGGGAACCTGAGCTAGCACACTCAACCCCCTCACCATGTGATGCCCTGCGCTACTTTGGGATTCTTCAGAGCTTCCCCATCAGCAAGAAGGCTCTCCCCAGAGAGGGGTCCATGACCTTGGACTTCCCAAACTCCACAACTGTAAGAAATTAATTTATTTTCTGTGTAAATTACCTAGTTTCAGGTATTCTGTAAGAGGCAACAGAAAATGGACTAAGACAGCTTCTGGTTAAACAACTTCTATGAGTAAAAGTAAATATGAGTTCATCAACCTGAAACCAAGTCCTTTGTTTTTTCAGAAGACAGTCTGTTTTTCCAGCATTATAGCCCAGTTTTCCTGCATTGTATCCCTCGACCTCACTCTAAATGCTGCTAAATCAGACAGCTCACCCAGTGGACCTGACCACTTTCTTCTTCCAGCTCCTTTGCAGTCATTCAGGCTGCAATGCCACCCCATTGTCTTTGCCCACACATCCTTTAAACCTTAGCTCAAGTGCCACTTCTATCTGAAAGCCACTCCATGATCATCCCTGTTGGAGACGATCTAGGCCTCCTTGAAAATTGTATTGCTCTTTGTTACTGTCCTATGAGACTTAGGGACTATGTGACAAGAATGTCATTTTTTTTTGTTTTCCTTGATTTTAAGCTCAATGATAGAGGGGATGTGCTCATTCTTTCTTCATAAATTCTACTGTTTCTGATACAGGTCTTAAAATTGCTCCATGTTCTGAAACATAGTTTGAATCAGTAAAGGAAAAGAATTTTACATTTACCAAAACAGAACAAACATGTTTCTATGTCAATCAGTTTCTAAGCACGCATCCAATAATGCAGCTCAATGTTAATCAGTCATGCCGCCTCATTTGTTATTTAGGAAAATTTTGTTACAGTACTTTTCTGGTTTCTCTTTTTCTCTTGTCATTGACAAAAAAAGATTATACCTTTCTTGTACACTATAACATAGTTAAAGGGTGCAAGCAAGAAGAATAAAAAATATTGAATCCTATCTCTACCGCTGGTAGCTCTCTGCACTTGAATGTTATGTAACTTCTCTGAGCCTGTTTCTTCATGTGTAAAATAAAGTAATACCATGCAAGATTAATGTCAAGATTAAATAAGACTTCTGTAATGTGTTTGGCCCATATTAGGAATGCAATAAAAGATAGCCAATAAGAGTAGTTGTAATAATAATAATTTTCTTTATAGGCTCTGTTATATCACTGTTTTATTTTCATTTTATTTTATTTGGATTTTTTACATCACCAAAGGCATGATTTATTTTCTCTACATTGACAGTAAAGTTATAGGGCTGGTGCTGTGCTTACTTTCACTTCAGAGTCCTTACTTGTAAAATCTTCTTATAAAGGTAGATCACATTTTGGGAGTTATCACTTAGCCCATTCATCTTCCTAATGGTTTAAAGCATCACATATCACAAATCTATTTCTTCTCATGCTAATAATATTCTTCCCCTGTAGCTATTCTAAATATTCTATAGGACCATCTACCAGATGATGAGTGTAGCATCTGATAACATAGGCAGCTTCCACGACAATATATGTTTGTGTTATCCATGATTAATGTATGATGTTTCAGTAATACCTGGGAAGTAATTAATCAATAGGACAACTTCTGAAATGCTTTATTTTCTCCCTTTTACATAAGTCCTGCTCCT